GTCATTGGAGGTAAAGTGTCTTCATTACTGAAAGCAGGAAAGATATCTATGATCTTGTGCTCTGCAGAAAAGTACCTGAAGCCTTCCTTACCCATGAACATCTAGCACCCAGAACCAGGCTTTGTCTGTAAAGCTCTTAGTCTCTTTACGCATGCTGAAAGATTAATAGCAGGCTCTCCTCCAGTGCCAGCAGCTCTGTGGCTTCATTCTGCCTCAAATTCAGCAGGCAGCTGAACTCACCCAACAGCTGGAGCATTTACTCACAGACAGGCAACCTGCACCTTGTTCATCGCATCCAGTTGTCACTTCTAAAGCACAAACAAAACAGACCAATAACATTGCATATGGAAAGAAGTCACAGTGGGGCAGACAGATGGATGGAGCTGCAGCCATTTTTAGTTTTCCTTTACGGAGTGATTTGGGTTAGATCTAATGAGCAGGGTGAAGCCCACATGACTGAAGTTCCAAATCCAGCAGCCCATCTGGTAATGGGTGGAGAGTTTGCCTGCTCTGCTTATAGTCATCTCCTACCACCTTCCCTTGCTTTACGGTTCTTGGGCTATGTGTTGGTCTCACCCTGCTTCACTGGTTTTGTTTAATGTAAGATGCTTGGGATATGGAAATCCATTCCCATTGGTGACTTATAACCATAGCAGGTGCCTCATCTCTGCCTTCTGGCAGCTGGGATGAGTGAATCCACACCAGATGGAGTTCTTTAAAAGTCGGCAGGAGTCATTCATTTCACTTCTATTTAATTAGCCCCAGTTCTGGGTCAGACCTGCATTAAACATAGAGATACAGGATGAGAGATACAGTTACTGCCTTCCTAGAATGAGCAGACTGGCTAAGAAGGAGATAGGCAAGCAGGCAGCAGTAACAGCACAGAAACTGGTTCCAAAGAAGAATGGGAAAAGAAGAACTCTACCACAGTAGCATCCCAGAGCAGGAAAACCATGACCTTTCCTTAGGGAAATAGTCAAAATACACATGTGAGCTGAATGCCTTCTCCAGGGAAGAGAACTGAACCTGATTTTTCTTTTAAATCAATGCATGTCACAGAGAATTTCATAACTCTCTCTTCTTGTAAGTTTTCATTTGATGAGAAAAGACTGTAGGTTCTGGCCTTCCCCCACTCATTGGCAAGCTCCATTGAGTCTTTCTAAGAATGGGAAGGTTATCACAGCCCCACAGGAGATCCTGGGAAGCTTGCCCAGCTTCCAGCCTGCAATAGCTCCTTCAACCCAGCAGTAGAAAACAGGCAACCCCTGCCACATTGTAAAGCTCTAGTTCATGCTTAAGATTCATTCATTGCCACCCAGACTATCACCTTTGGTATTTTATTTTGACTTGTTCTAAAATAGTTGGGAAACATGTTACACAATGGTCTTAGAATAGATGACAAATATAAGTGGTCTTAGTTATGGTCACAACTTTTAAAAATTTGGTGGAAGATAGGTCTTTATATCTAACTTTCTGATATCTACTCACATAAATAGTAATTAACAATAACCAACAACTTAGAAAACATAAACTATGAGAATATGTAAACCTTATCATAAACAAAATTATTTTTAGTGACCAAAGCTTAAGTGTTTTACCGCTATTAATTATTAATTTTGTGTGCATACTGTTTGTTGCTTAGTGGCTTGATTTTGTTGTTGTTGTTGTTTATTTATTTTGAAATAAGGTCTCACAATATATCCCAGAATGGAGAAATGGCAGGGAACGCAAGAGAAATCTTGCATCAAAACAAGTGGAAGGCGAGAATAGACTCTGAAGTTGTTCTTTGACATCTGCACAAGTGCTATGGCAGCCAAGCACCTACACACACACACTCACATGCATGCTCACACACATAATCACATGCATACTCACACACACACACACTCACACATACACACACAATCACATGCACACACACTCACATGCACACTCACACACACATGCACGCTTACACATGCATGCTTACACACACATATGCACACATACATACATACACACATATGCACACACACACATTCACATACACACACACACACACACAGGGTTGGTGGAGGTGGCATTTAGATCAAAGGATTCTTGGCAAGTCTTAGTGCCAAAAGTCTGGATTTGATCCCTAGCAACGAAAGCAAAACAACTCCAAAAGCACACAGACCCTTTGTTGTTGTAACTCCATGTTTATTCTTAGGTGGTCATCATAACTTTCTAGGAGAAACAGCCTTTCTCCCTCATTACTCTGCTTGCAGGGGCTTTTGTTGAAACTGCAGGTTAAGGGCTTCTCAGCAGGTCTTTATTTCTGCATACAGAGAAGATCTGTGTTTGTGTGTTTGTTTTGTTGCTCTTTTCCTCCAAAGTATGTGCCTGTCCAGACTGAATTTTCTCAGTGACAACTTTCTTCTCTGTCCCCATCATTTCCCTACAGGTGTCATAGCAGTGGTGACGTTCATCACCTTTTGTGTCATCGGCATCATGACCCGCTTCCTCTATCAGCATAAGCAGTCACACCGTACCAATCAGATGAAGGAGAAGGAATACCCAGAGAACTTGGACAGTTCCTTTAGAAATGACATTGACTTGCAAAACACAACCAGCGAGTGCAAACGGGAGTACTTCATCTGAGATGCCATAGGGTCACCTGGTTCCCTTTTTTTGTGGGTTCCCCCCCATTTTCTCTTCTCTTTCCTATTTTTTAATTTAGGTATTCTCTTTCTCTCTTTTGTCATTAATTTTCTGGAACACACCTGCATCCACCGAGAGCATTGATCTCCTTCATCTAGCTCAGGAGATCAGGTAGCTATGGTTACTGTGGTCCACTGATACACACACCATTGTGAAAGTGAGCACTGGAGACACAGATTTCACTGTTGTAAACAAGGAAGAACACGTGTGTACACATGCATATTCGATGTTTGTGGTTGAGTTTTAAACTTCACTCTGCGGTTTCTTCTTTAGACTGGAGCTCTGTGGCATTGGCCTTTAACAATTGTCTCCAACACGCTGCCCCACACCATATGGTAGGTAGTATGGCCTGAGAGGAGAAAAGTGGTAGGTGTGTGTGTGACAGAGACAGACAGAGTCAGGTCATCCTTTAAGCAAAGAGTCTATTAGGGAGCCCAATAGAGCAGGAGGGAA